CAGGCATGCCTTCACCAATTACAAAAAGTTCAGGTTCCCTAAATTGAGGGTTCCTCTCCTTGTACATAATCCATTATTGTGTATAGGTATCATCTGATCTTCCTGATGCAACTCTGTGGGAATTAGGCTTAGGTCAGGGACACAAGAAAATGTTAATACTCTTGGTTACTGCTAATGCTGTAAGATAATAAAGTTCTTTCTCTCCATTCCAGGAGTCTCATGTCTCTTTAGCTGGCATTCATGAAACTGTAGCCCGGATAACTTGATAACTTATTATCTTAGAGACAGGGTAAAATCACAGACCTGTTAGAATTCTTGACACATACCTGTTATTGTTTTTGTTTTTATAGGGCTGCTGGCATATTCAGAGGCCTGATATGATTGCTGTTTTGCCAGGGGGGCACTTCCAACAGACACCTCATCCTCTTTCTTTCTGCTAATTGGTGTAACAAGAGGAACAGCTATGACAGGCTGCTAGAGAGAGGCAAAAGAAAACACTGATTTACTTTTTTAAGCAGTGAAGGGTAAACATGGTAACACTGAGCAAAGTCCCTCATAAGTGGTGTTGAAGCTTTATTATTTTAATTCAATCAATCAATATGTAGCTCCCTTGGTCCTTCCCTGCATCTTCATCTGTCTCTCTTATACACACAGATTCACACAGGGACACTTGATAATTTCAGTGTGAAATTACAATTCTGTGTGAAAACTAAGACAGCTTGAAAATATATGGAATTTAAAATTTCAGTAAGAAGCATCAAGATAATATGGTAAGGGCAAATCAAAACTACAATTAAATTTGAAAATTGTAATTACTAGAAAATAAAAAATTATCCTTATAAAAAAGATTATTTTTAAGGACACATTTCCATAAAGTGATTAATTACATGTTACAGTTCAACTTAATAAAGAATTGCTAAAATCTCTGTATTCTGTCTGACAAAGTGATACACACAGCATATTTAGAAAGCATAGAAAAGTATCCATAGTTAGAGAAAGCTGGAAAACATTATGATCCTATATTGAATGCACGAGTGCTGAACTGGACAATAAAGCAGCTGTTTCATCTTTATTCACTGAAATAAAGTCTGATCTTACTGCTGATGACGCCCAATACAATCTTGTCAGATTTTTGGCAAAAAAAAAAGAAAAAAAAAGGTATTTTTTAAGTTTCCTGCAGGATCAAAGATCAATGTTGAACTGGGTGGAAAACAATCATCAAATGTTGGGTTTTAGCCACAAATTGAGAAGGAAATTGCAAGCTTGGGAAACAACAGATGATAACTATAATACAGCTGCATCAGATGGTAACTTTGGAGGGGCTGGTTGAGCTGCAATGCAGTCTATTGTTACTCTCAACAGCACAACAACCACACTTTTAAGGATCCAACTTTAAGCCTCACCCAACCTTTATTTTAATTAATATTACTTAGATTATAAATAAATATTTCAATCAGAACACAGGTACATTATCTAACTATGTAATATAATCAAGTTATAAGATAGAGGGGAAAAAGGCAAATTATTTTACAAGTTGCTACTTAGGCTGAGTAAAAGAACAAGAAAGGTGATAATGAGAAAGTGGAAAGATTAAATATATTTGTGGGAAATATAATGCACAGTACCTGATTTTCATATTAAGAATTTAGTAAAAGTGATAATATTTATACAAACCTAAATAGGAGATAGTATTTAAGACCTAAAAGAAAATGTTCGACATATTGCTAAGTTTTGATGCATTTAAAATTCCTCAACTATAATTTATGGGAGTGGAGATGATGCTTAAAAACCCTTTCAGTTCTAGTATTTAGTGATTCCATAATCCCTTGAATTTCTTGGCCATCACTTATAATTCTGAAATATGACAAAGTATTCCAAAAAATTACAACCATGTTCAGATTCAAATTAATATATTAGAGAAAAATTATGTTCTATACAGTATAATATTTAATTCAAGAAAAATAGCTGAAAGATGAGATTCATAAAAGCCATAATACTAGTTATACCTAAAAACAAACAAAAATCCTTTGTTTTGGTGGCTCAAACTGGGGGCATTTTCACATAGGCAAGGATACATTACAAGCTCTAACAAAACCCTTCCTAACAATACAGCAGGCTCTGATAGTTCTCCAGAACTGTATTCCAAATACATACAATGGTGTCCAAAAGACTCTCCATAGATATTTGCTGAGTGATTGCTAATATAGGTACTACATGTCAGGCATGAAGAGATACTGAATACTGAGTAAGATGATTGGATTTCCTCCACATTTCTGGAAATACGGCTATCCCAGTCAAAAATATCAAGATAAACAATATTTATTTTTAGGAACATTGCATTGTTCTACTAATATTCTTCTACCTTCTGGTACCAGATATTCCCTCAAATATCAGTTGTGTCCTAGCCTCAGATTTCTCCTATCCTTGATGCATCAATACCCCATGATTCCAAAATACCTAAAAACTTTTACTGTTCTTCCTATAAAATTCTTCCTCTTTAATAAATGTAAAAATATATGAAATTATAAAGAATTAAAACAACATCCACATTCCCATTATATCTAATAATTACTGGCTATTTACATTGTTATCATATTTCCTTTTTTTTTTTTTAAAGAGACCAGTGAAATGTTACAGATGGGACTAAAATCCCTTCAACTGCTAGCCACCTGCCTACTCCTCCCTGAATCACCACTATTATGATACTGATATAACCTTTGAAATTCATGTTTTACAACTATCTTTACTTATACAACTCATACATACCATTTATTTCACCATTTATCTATTTCTAATGGTAGTTTTGGAAAAATACACATACTCTCATATTGCATATATCCTTGGGAAATTGGTTTTTGTTTTATGTACAACTTGAGACATTCATATTAAGACCTATCATACAGTTTCTACTAATAAATTATCATGTGAATATGTCATACTTTATCCACTTCCTTAGAGTCATTCCTTACAGGCATTCAAGTTGTCTCCAATTTTACATTATTGCAATAAATACTGCAATAAGAGGCTTATAATGACTCTTTAGTGTTCTATGAGTATATCTGTTAGGAGTATATCCTTATCAAAAAAGTGGGATTTGAGGGTTAAAGATTATATTCATTTTCAATTCTACTGGATACTGTCAACTTATCAACTTTCACTCATAACAGTAGTATATGAGTTTATCCATTTTCTATATTTTCACCACTACTGAATATTGGCATTTTCAGCCACTAGAGTTTTAAGGGGGAAGAGGAGTAGTCATGAATTGATTAATTATTAAAGCGACGTGAAAAGATCATAGGGCTCAATTATACTATTCTCTCAATTACCCAATGTTAAAAAAATAAGAATAAAATAATAGGTTAGGATATTTTAAAAAGTGTATTTTTCAGATACGATAAACTGTAGTAAAATAGTAATACTGTGAAGTCCTGGTGAAAATGTAAACTCTTACCAATTCTGGAAGGTAAGCTATAATATAATAAAAGCCTCAAAATGCGCTAAAATATATGCCCTTACCTATTTTTTTAAGATTTTATTTACTTGAAAGAGAGAAAAGAGGTAGGGGGAGAGACAGAAGAAAGGGAAAAGCAGACTCCCCGCTGAGCAGGGAGCCCCTATGTGGCACTCAATCCCAGGAACCTGACATCATGACCTGAGTCAAAGGCAGATGCTTAATGAATTGAGCCACTCAAGTGCCCCAACACATGTCTTTAATTATTAATTACACTTTCAAAAATATATTCTAAGAGAACACTTAAAAGCGCAAAGATTTAGCTATGAGGATATTATCCCAATATTATTGTAACTGCATGAGTAGGATTATGGACATTTGTTAGTTTTATTTTTTTTTTATTTTTCTTTTTTTAAGGATTTTATTTACTCATGAGAGACAGAGAGAAAGAGAGAGAGAGAGAGAGAGAGAGAGAGAGAGAGAGAGACAAAGGCAGAGGGAGAAGCAGGCTCCACGCAGGGAGCCCGACGCGGGACTCAATCCCAGGACTCCAGGATCATGCCCTGGGCCAAAGGCAGGCACTAAACCGCTGGGCCACCCAGGGATCCCCTGTTAGTTTTATTTTTAAATAAATCTATTATTTTTAATAAAATAAATAATTTTAAATAGTTATAAAACAGCATAATAAAAATAAAAGTAAGTAACAAAACCTTTAAAGATGACTGGTATCAATCAAATGAATGTATAATCTATTTGAGCTGTTACAACATGATTTGACCTTCAGGAATATCTCTAGTAATGGGGACATAATTGCATCATTTATAAAACAACCAATGAGAATTTACAAAACAATGGGATATTATTCAGCCATAAAAAAGAAGGAAGTCTTCTCATTTGTGACAACACGGATGGAACTAATAAGGCAATCAGGCTAAGTGAAATCAGCTAGAAAAAGAAAAATACCATGATTTCACTCATATGTGGTATATTTAAAAAAGAAAGAAAGAAAAAAAAAAAGAAGGATTCCTGGGTGGCTCAGTCACTTAGGCATCTGCCTTTGGCTGGCATCATAATCCCAGGACCCTGGGCTCTCTGCTCAGCTCCCGTTTGTGCGCTCTCTCTCTCAAATAAAATCTTAAAAAAAAAAAAAAAGACAAACTCATGGGAGCAGTGGAGCAAATGGGATCAAAGGCACAAACTTCCACTTATAACAAATAAGTTGGGATGTCTGGGTGGCTCAGCAGTTGAGGGTCTGCCTCTGGCTAAAGGTGTGATCCCGGGTTTGGGGACAGAGTCCCCTATTGGGCTCCCTGCAGGGAACCTGCTTCTCTCTCTGCCTGTGTCTCTGTCAATTTTGGTCTTACATAATTATAAAATTGTGTATTTTTTCTATCAACTAGCTTTAAGTTACTTCAGAAAAAAGATGTAGTACTGCGATGTAATGAGCACTGAGTGTTAAGATTCATGAATCATGGACTGACCTCCACCTCTGAAACCAGTAATATATGTTTATTAATTGAATTTAAATTTAAAAAATGAAGATGCAGTGCTCACACTGGCAGTCCATATACTAAAATTGGAACAATAAAGGGAAGATTAGCATGTCCCCTGTGCAGGATGACAGAGAAATTCATGAAATGTTCCATATTAAAAAAAAAAAAGATGCAAAGTTATTTCAATTAGAAATATAACAAAATTACAACTAAGTCAATGGGAAAATGCAATGCAAGATAGCATAAATTTGGTCTGAGAAACATTTAGCTCTGCCATTTACTACATGTAACAATAAGGTAGGTTAGGTTAAATGTCAATAAGCATCAGTTTGTTTGTTTGTTTGTTTATTTTTAAGATTTTATTTATTTCCTCCTGAGAGACACACAGAGAGAGAGAACCAGAGACGCAGGCAGAGGGAGAAGCAGGCTCCACACAGGGAGCTGACATGGGACTCGATCCCAGGTTTCCAGGATCACACCCTTGGCTGAAGGTGGCGCCAAACCACTGAGCCACCGGCTGCCCCAGTTTCTTCATTTTTAAAATGGGAATAATAAAACCCTCTGTAAGAATTCCATTTAAGCATTCCAGAAACTATAATTAGCTACTTTTTACTTTGTGATTTATAACCTTCTATTTTTTTTTTATTTATACCCTTTTAAATAAGCATATATCCTAACTCTTTTACACCAACTATCCCAATCCAGGGATTTGGCACTCAACGAATGCTTGTTGAGTAAACCCAAAGATGAAGAGGAAATACAGAGATAATAAAAACAATAGCTAACATTTATTATGCAGTTCTCATGCATCAGACACTCAGAATACACATCTAGGCACCATGAGGAAAAAGAGGTCAGTAAAATAGGACTCTCCAGTGTTTCTGCTTTACCAGCAATTGCTTAGAAATTCATCTCAATGGTCAATGAAACTCTATATGAGCTATAATTTTCTGTCTAGAAATGAAGGCATACATTATTTGAAACAGGTAGAGCAGAGGACAAAGGACTTGTGGTACATCCATTAAAAAAATCAATGCAGACTATGTATAACTCTAACAAATACTGAGAAAAAGATTTGTTCATTAAGAGAATTATAAAAATTTCTCACCTGCTGCATATGTCTACTGGTTCGTTTCTGAGGCTGATAAACAAGCCAGTTATATAAGACTGGGTCAATATTAACTGCTACTCCTTGTACACTACAAAGAAGCACGGCACCTAAAAATCAAGATTTTAAAATAGTTTTAATTCCTCATAAAAAAAATAGCAAGCTTTATATCACCTCACTCCAAGCAGGACAGCTATAATAAAAAAAGACAAATTAACAAGTGCTGACAAAGATGTGGAGGAATTTGAGCTCTCATATACTGCTGGTGGGAGCATAAAATGGTACAAATACTTTCAAAAACACTTTAGCATTTCTTCAAGAGGCAAAATATACAGACGTAATAAGACCCAACAATTTTATTCCTAGGTATGTACCAAGAGAACTAAAATCACTCCACTCAAAACTTTGTACCCAACTTTTCAAAGCAGTATTCATAATAGCCCAAAGGTGGAAATGACACAGATGTCCAGGAATCGTTGAATGGATAAGCAAAATATGATATAGCCATATAATGGAAAATTATTTGTTTATCTCAAGGAATCAAGTATTGATTCATGCTATACTACCTTGAATACATGCTAAGTGAAAGGAGCCAGTCACAGAAAACCACACATTGCATGATTCCACTTAAATGAAATTGTTAGAACAGGCAAAAACCATAGACAAAAAAAGGTGGGATTAGTGGATGCCAGTGTTTGGGGAGGAGGAAAGAATGGAAAGTAACTGCTAATAGATATGCAGTTCTTTGGGGAGTGATTAAAACGTTCCAGAATTAGAAAATGGTGATTGTTGCACAACCTTGTAAATATACTAGAAAACCATTAAATTATGCACTTTAAAAATAATGAATTTTATGGAAAAAGAATTATATCTCATCAAAAGTGAATTAGTCTACCACATGATTTCACTCATGTGGAATTTAAGAAACAAAACAGATGAACATAGGGCAAGAGAAAGAAAAATAAAATAAGACAAAAGCAGAGAGGGAGGCAAACCATAAACTCTTAACTATTGGAAACAAACTGAAGATTGCTCAAAGGGAAAGTCTAAGGGAATGGGGTAACTGGGTAATGGGCATTTAATGCAATGAGCACTGGGTATTAAATGCAACTGATGAATCACTAAATTCCACCCCTGAAACTAATAATACATTGTTAACTAAATTGCATTTAATTTTTTTTTTTTTTTTTTTTTTTTTTTTTTTTTTTTAGTGAATTTGGGAAACCTAGGTGGCTCAGTGGTTGAGCATCTGTCTGTGGCTCAAGTCGTGATTCCGGGGTTCCAGGATCGAGTCCCGCATCAGGTTCCCTGGAAGGTGCTGGCTTTTCCCTCTGCCTATGTCTCTGCCTCTCTCTGTGTGTCTCTCATGAATAAATAAATAAATAAATCTTTAAAAAATAAAAAAAAAAGTGAATTTGTCTTTAATAATATGCTTTATTTTTTAGGCAAAGAGCAATTTCCATATCAGTCATGAGAATAAAATATTATCTTCTTTTTCTGTTTATATTACAAACTTAATTCACGATGTTAAAGGAAGGATTATTACAACCACTCAATAAATCACTGCAAATTACAGCTTTAAGTGTTCAGAAGCCAGAGAGACATCTGCCTAGATGAAACACAGGCTAGCATTCTGACATAAAACATAAAGCTGAAGTTGAAATTTGATCCTAGGAAAGTATTTTAGTCCCTCTCTGATAAAAAGCAATCACACAGGACTTAACTAAAGCGTAACATCCCACTCTTAATTTACGTGCAGGTTATGTGCATTCATAAATACATTTCTGCATCTCTACATATACTTTCTGATAAAATATTATTAGCTCTACTGGGACATGGGATATCAAATAAGAGGTATTCATCAGTTTTGCTCTCAACTGTATCTCCAGTTTCTAGAAAAGTAGTGGCCACATGGTAGGGGTAGAGAGTCATAATAAAAGGTAGATAGGTTCTCAGGTTAGGTGCAAAAATCTGGTTCTAGAACACTGCAGATTATCTAAACAATTACTGTTAGTACCAACTCCTATGAAAAGTAAACTACCAGAGATAAGAGATAGGAAGATGTAGGGAAGTAAGCAAGAGAAATACCCCCATTTTAAATTTTTGCACATAATTTTCAAACAAGTAAAAACTGTCATGTGTATTCCTATTTCACCTTTCAGTTCTTCTTTTCCCAGGGACCCAGATTCAGTATAGATTTGGGGCAGCACTCTGCTGCAATCCTGCCCACTTCCATGTACCAATGGATGTGCTGCTGAGCAATGATTAAGTCAAATACATATCAAGAAGGATTGACTAAGAGAAACTAAACACAGGATAATTGGAAAAGGGGAGTCATAACTGAAGTCAATTAGAAAATACAACGTAACACATTTATTCTTTCCTGTAATAGAAAGCATAAAAATTAAAATCTTAATTTTAAAGAAACTGTATACATTTAAATGAAGAGTTTTAAAATTTTAAATTCAAGAATAAATAATTCAATCTTAAAGTTCAGACCTTTCTAAATTACATATAAAGAAATGAAATTACAGTCAGATTTAAATTACTATGAAGTGTTTCTTGTCAGATAAGCTCACTGTAATATAATTTGTTTTATAATAAATATCACATGAATATTAAAGATACCACAAATAACATATGTTTAACAATAAGAAATGTGTTCCACAAAAAGCAATTGCAAAACAAGATAGAAGAATGTGGGATCTAGGAGATGAAAGATCCAACACAGGAGGAGAGTGAAAGGAATGCCCCAAATGACAATACTGAATTAGTGACAAGTATGTGAAAAATGTAGTAATAATATTTAAAGTATATTTGTTATTTACTTTGAGGGAGAGAACATAGGGAGGGGCAGAAGGAGAGGGAGAACCAGAATCCCAAGCAGGCTCCATGCTCAGCACAGAGCTGGATGCAGGGCTCGATCTGATGACCCTGAGGTCATGACCTGAGCCAATATCAAGAGTCAAACCTTTAATTGACTGAACCACCCCAGTGCCCTCAGAACAGCGATAAAACAATTATTAAATACAGGAAAAACACACGCTATAACAGAAATGATAACTAATCATAAGATATAACATGATTGTACTATGAATATTTATAGACAAAGATATGTAAATTCTGAAAAATACATTCATTGATTAATCAAACATGATAACAATTTTGAGAGTAGGTATATGTAAGAGGAATGTATGATGTGAACAAGAGAGACTGAAAGTTAGCCAAATATCATTTTGCACAGTAAGACATCAATAAATTTTGCTCTAAAGTGAAAGATCAAGAAAGAGCAAGAAAAGTCATATTATTTAAAAATATGGGAGTAAACATCAAAATAATTATTGAAAAGATGTGAGATATGTTACCTCTTAAAAAGGGAATATAAAAAAAAAGTACAACTGCCATGATGGAGAATATAATTAGGAATCTCAAACTGTGGCCAAGAAAAAACAGAGGTAGATAAGGCTTAGATTCTCTTGTTGAGGTTTATCTCTCTGGCCACTAGCAGAATAAAATTTTCTGTTTGAAAAGTTTCCAATTCACTGTCATGTAACTATCAAAAATTATGATCTGTGAATTGTTCTCTTAACAAAAAATTAGCAAGCACTACAAAAGCAAGCCACTGTGAGAGACAGTCAGAAAAATCAACAAACAACAAATTTAGACTTTTCAAATACTGGAAATATTCAAATATAGAAAACAAACACCTAGGTATAAAATGTTTAAAATGCAAAAGTATGGTATCCTGCAGATTATCAAACAATGAGAAAGTATCAGGAAAGAATATATATACATATATATTAAAATAATATATATATTAAAAGATTTTATTCATTTATTCATGTGAGACACAGAGAGAGGAGAGAGAGACGGGGGCGGGGGAGGGGGCGCAGAGACACAGGCAGAGGGAGAAGGCAAGGAGCCTGATGTGGTATTCGATCCCAGTAATCACGCCCTGGGCCAAAGGCAGGCACTAAACCGCTGAGCCACCCAGGGATCCCACAGAAAGTATGTATTTTAAAGGAAAATGGCAATTATAAAATGACAGTTC